TTTCTTAACATTTGTGTTTCCTTGAATAAGTCTTTTAATTTCCTTCAAGAACTTTTCCTCTGTATTCACAACTTGGTTAAGTGCTGTAAGAGGCCCAGCTTTTGACCTACCTCAGCTTTCAACACTTAATGACTAAGCTTTATTATTTCTAGCTTCTGATTTAAAGGGAAAGATGTGCAACTCTTCCTTTCACTTGAACACTTAGAGGCCACTGTAGTGTTAAGTGGCCTAATTTCAATACAATTCTGTCTCAGGGAATATGGAGGCCCTTGGAGAGGAAGACAGGGGAACAGCTGGTAGGTGGAGCAGTCAGACTACACAAAACATTTATCAATTACGTTTGCTGTCTTATACGAGCTGGGCTTGTGGTGCTCTAAAACAATTACACTAGTAACATCAAAGATCACTGATCACAGGTTATCATAACAAATAATAGTAATGAAAGAGTTTGAAATATTGTGAGAATTACCAAAACGTGACAGAGACATGAAGTGAACACAGGCTGTCGGAAAATTATGCTGATAAACTTGCTGGATGCAGGGTTGCCACAAACCTTCAATTTATAAAAAAAAACGCTGTATCTGCTAACTGCAATAAGGTATGCCTGTATTCAGTAAAAGACATTACTCATATGCTAAAATTGATAAATTTAGGAACAATGAATACATTTAAGTAATCAACCTGTCAAGGGTTTTAAAAATCAGCCTTAAACATGTAAATTAGTCATATGACCTAGTGGCTCAGAAGAATTGGAAACTTGTGTTATATTTTTTCTTCCAGCTTTGCCATAAAGTAACTGTGAAGCTCTGTGCAATCTCCTTCACCTGCTGTCTGGTTTCCCCTCTGTCAAATGAGGATGCAGAATCAAGTCTGCCAAAGTCTCAGCTAAGACAACCACATAGACATGAGTAACATACAGATATATAAAGGTTATTCTGAAAACAAAATTAAGACTACTGACAAACATGATTTTCTCTATAAGAATTTAGCAATTGGGACTGCTTAGTGACCTATGAAAAATTCATTTTTCTCTGAAATGTTTAGACAACTAATATCAACATGCTTAAATATTGGTTAGATAAGCAGCTAAGACATTAATAAGACAGCAAAAGCTTGGCAAAAAACTGGGCAGCAAGGTGACCAACAATTTAATTTCAAAGGTAAAACCACTAATTCATATATTACTGATATCTCGGTATGAAAGCAGAGCTCTGTCACTTACCTAACTCATTTGCCCCTCCTTTTCAGTTCACTTTGCTACTAACCTAGATTTGACACTAGCCCTCACTTCTTAGGCCTAGACTCCTACATAAAAACTTTTGTATTTTTTTAAATAATTTTTGAGATGGAGTTTTGCTCTTGCTGCCCAGGCTGGAGTGCAATGGCGCAATCTCAGCTCACCACAACCTCAGCCTCCTGGGTTCAAGAGATTCTCCTGTCTCAGCCTCCTGAGTAGCTGGGATTACAGGCATCCGCCACCATGCCCGTCTAATTTTATTTTTATTTTTATTTTTTAACTAGAGGCGGGGTTTCTCCATGTTGGCCAGGCTGGTCTCGAACTCTGACCTCAGGCGATCCACCTGCCTTGACCTCCCAAAGTGCTGGGATTACAGGTGTGAGCCACCGTGCCCGGCATAAAAACTTCTTAATGGATCTTCCACCTCCAGACTCTGGTTTCTAATTCATCTGATGCAGCACAAATGAGAGACATCTTTCTAAAGGACCATTAAGCAATAATTAAATGGTCCTTTAGCAAGATGTGCTCCTGGAGTTAAAACCATGGAATGATTTCCCTGAAATGGAATTTCCTTCAACTCAAGCCCTCTCTAGTCTGGGTACAACTCTCCTTTCAGTTTTATCTCACAAAACTCTTCTCCGCCACTCGGAGCCACAGTCTCCTAGCACTGCAGGTGCGCTGTTTCCTTAGTGTTCATGAGGCCTTCTCATCTCTATGACAATCTCTTGACCACTTCCTCTTCCTTCAACTCTGTGGCCCAACTGAAATACCGCTTCTTTGCCTTCAATACAGCTGGAATCCACAAATATTTACAGAATGTTTTCTATGTGCAAAAATGTGCTAGAAGCAGTGGAAGAAAAGACCAGGAAGCCCTCTAAAAGCTTATAAAAGATCAGGAAAAAATAGACAAGTTCACAAATGATAACATCCCAGAAGAACATGACCTCTTTGTTCTCCTTTACTTTGTACCACAGGTATTTTGTACATTCTCCAAGGATGGGGACCATGTTTTGATGTCTTTTTAATTCATTACAGCATCAAGAACAGTACCAGCTGAATGACTGCAGACTAATACAGATCTTTCGACTCTTTTTTTTTCTGCCTTGATTTAAAAAAAAAATTATATTTCTCATCTCTTGGGCAAATTTTGCCCTTTATACAACTCTACCATTTATTCTAAAGTAGCTCATTCAGGATACCAATCAAAAGTAGGCTAATATTAAATTTGGAAAAAGTTATTGTGTTTTGCTTAGCCTCTTAGGATAGAGAGAAGTATCTAAACAACATGGTCAGTTACAGTTCATGGATTTTCTCCATTAAAGGCGTAGAGAAGTTGCCTGTTCTTTTTCTTCAAATACACTTAGGTTGCCATAATGTTAGTTTCCTTATAAAATAATTTCAGGTAGGGTGGGTGGCAAAAAAAAAATTAAAACTAAAATAAAATAACTTCAGCTTTTACCATTACTCTCTACAAAACATAATATTCCTTTTCTATTGAGAGTATAGCTTCTCAGGCTCAGAAAGTTGCCAACATATGTAACACATGTACCATACATTTTTCAAGGTAAGTATCATTTTAACCACTTCTTTCTCTCCCATGTTGTGTAGAATTTTAAAATGAAGATGTTATATTTACAAAGGAGGAAAATTTTAAAATTATTTTAATTTCTATCAAAATTCAACCCATATTTATTTTAAAAATTCGCCTCCATGGACCAATGATACTCAAATACTATAAACTTGAATTTCTGAACCTGAGGTCCTCCCCGCCCCAAAACAGTTTTTTAAGTACATAAAAATTTGGGCCTAGATATCAATTCTTCCAAGTTTACATTTTCCGAGAACTTGGTGCCATGATTAATCATATACTTGATCGAGGGTCCAGGGTTCAAGTCCCAAAGGAAAAAAAAAATTCATATACTTGATCAAAGTGACGCCACCCAAAGACATTTTAGAAACTGTCATCACATATAGATAATAAATAGAGGAGGCCAGGTGCAATGGCTCACGCCTGTAATTCCAGACGTTAGGGAGCCCGAGGTGGGCGGATCACTTGAGACTAGGGGTTTTGAGATCAGCCTGGCCAACATGGCGAAACCCCGTCTCCACTAAAAATACAGAAATCAGCTGGGCGTGGTGGCATGTGCCTGTAATCCCAGCTACTTGAGAGGCTGAGGCAGGAGAATCGCTTGAACCTGGGAAGTAGAGGTTGCAGTGAGCCAAGATGGTGCCACGGCGCTCCAGCCTGGGTAATAGAACGAGACTGTGTCTCAATCAATCAATCAGCGAAAATTAGCCGGGCATGGTGGTGCACACCTGTAATCCCAGCTACTCAGGAGGCTGAGGCAGGAGAATCGCTTGAACCCAGGAGGCGGAGGTTGCAGTGAGCCAAGATCGTGCCGCTGCATTCCGGCCTGGGGAACAGAGCGAGACTTCATCTCAAAGAAAAGAAAAACAAAACAAAAGAAAAAAGAAAATAAATAGGAAATTATTACACATGTTTCTTCTCTAGCCAGAAACTGGCTTGCACCAAGTATTTACTTTTTAAAAAACTCTCTAATGAAAACAACGAAGAGAAAAAAAGAGAAAACAAAGTTTTAAATCTAAAGTCAAAGATGTGCAGAGGAAATGAAAAATGAGGTTGCACACACAGGTGGTTTATTGAACAGCCACTGCTCGTTTTGACATATATATATGTATAAATATATATACCACCTGCAAAAGGTGATAACTTTAAGGATCTTACACTTTTGTAGTGTTCACGACAAAACTGAAACACTGCATATATTTAAAAAAACCTAACACTTCGTTTTCCAAAGATAATTTAGGATACTGAAGATGCAAAGCTACTTTACCTCCAAATGTGTGTGCTGTATATGTTGGTTAGTAAAACAAAATCAGAGTAGGTCATTACAGAAGTGGAGTGAAAACTTTCCAGAATAAAATACTTCCTCAAGTGATGATGAACCTGTCAACTTGCAAATGTACATCTCCCTTACAGTTCTGGGTATAAGAACCACAGGCAGTTCGTAGCTGAAATGTGCCAGAGGGCAGATTTGTTTAAGGGCTAAGAGTCTGGAAGCTTTGTTCTAGTAAATGCGCAACTGCTGTTTAACAGGGCGTTTTCTTTGTTTTTAAATGTCTTTTTAAAAAGGAGACAGACAAGTCTTAAGAGTTAGTATACAAGACAAGAGCTCTGTCTGAAGACAATCACTAATTCAGAGGTCTTTAGATCTTCCTGCTGTTTGTCGCGGGTTAAGGAAATAAAGAGGACAGGACACTAAAAGGGGAAGAGACAAATCGTCCAGGGACACACACCCCTCGGAAACAGTCCTCCAGCTTTGCGAACAGATTTTTAGAGCCCTCCCTTCAACATACCTGGTCAAGTCTAGAAAGCCCGGGGAAAGGGATGACCATGGTCGCTTCGGAGACAGCCAGGACTAGGAGCGGAGTCGGGGTTCCTCATTTACCCCGCCCCCCACCCCGAGAGGACCCCCATCTTCTCTCTCCCCCACACTGGACGCGCGCCCTATTCCCCGCTCGACCCCAGGCGGCCGGCGGCCCCAACTGAGCCCCAAACACAAGCGTCGGGCACCCAGGCTCCACCCGCCCCTTTCGGCCTGGGTCCCTGGGTAATGACCCTTCTCCCGCAGCCCAGTTCTAAGGAAAAGGGTCGGAACTGGAGAAAACCGCCATAACCGCCAAGCGCCCCTCGCCGCCGCCACGGAGACGAGGGGACTGCCGCCCGGCTCTTCACACCCACCTGCCTCCTCCCGCGGCCCCTGCGCCGGCTCCCGCGGCCCCGCCGCCACCAGAACCAGCTCCCGGCCGCAGCGCCATCTTGCTCCGGGCCTGCCGCTGCCGCTGCCGCTGCCTTCGCTGCCGCCACTTTAGCAGCAGCTGTCAACTGAAGACAGCCACTTCCGGGGCAAACACCAGGCCCCACCGCGCCGCGGACCGGGCGATGGGGCGGGGCCGCGCGCCCACGTGACTCCTCCGGCCCTCGAGGCGGCTTGGCGCGCCCTCGGCACGTGACCCGGCGCCGCGATGGGTCCCCGAGGTTCAATTCTAGCTCTTGGGCTGGTGGGGCGGTCGCGGGCGCCTCTCCAAGGGAGCTGATTCATTGTCTGGCAGGGCCCTCTGCAGGGCCCAGCTGGCCACCGAGTGGCAAAGCGCCGTTGGCCCTCCGTTTGAAAACCATGATCTCGGTTTAGTGGAAAGAGTAGGCGGAGTCCCGTTTTAAACTAGACGGTGGGACACTGGTGTTTTTATTATTACCCTTTACACAAGGAACAGATAGGTCCTGAAGGGATAGTCTCACAGCACTGATTAGTGATCAGTTCTCCCTCCTTTCCCTGGAACTCGACAGCTTCATGTTGGCACCCATCACAGACGCTGAAGGCATTTAAAATTTATCAACCAAGAGCACAAAAACCCAACCCACATAAAAAAAAAAAAATCTCCAAGGTGTACTACTGGTTTGGTTCTGTCATCCTGCCACTCATAGTCCCTTTGTTTTTCCTATTCTTGCAGGCAAGTGCAAAACAGCTTTTTTGAAAGCAGTTCATAATTACTCTGAAGCTATTTCGGCATATTTCTGTGACTTTTTTTTTTTTTTTTTTGGAGACAGAGTCTCGGTCTGTTGTCCAGGCTGTAGTGCAGTGGCCATGATCATGGCTCACAGCAGCCTCAGTCTCCTGGGCTGAAGTGATCCTCTAGCCTCAGCCTCCTGAGTAGCTGGGACTACAGGCATGCACCACCACGCCAGGCCAATTTCTTTCGTAGAGATAGGATCTATGTTGCCCACACCGGTCTCAAACTCCTGGGCTCAAGCTATGCTCCCACCTTGGCCTTCCAGTGCCAGGATGTGAGCCACCACGCCTGGCCTGTGATTTTTGTTCCTCTTCTTTGCCTATTGATTTTTACATTTGCAGGATTCAACTCAGGATGTCAGCCTTCCATAACAACCCGTCTGGGTTAGATGCCCTCCTGTGATGCTTTAGCATCATGGCCTTACATCTAACACAGCACTTGCCACACTAGTCATGTGCTACATGATGATGTTTTGGTCAGCCACAGATAGCAGATACAATTTTGGTGGGATGAGAAGTGGAGGTGGAAGACAGAGAGACTGATGATCCTAACCTTTTGTAGACCTAGCATAATGTGTTTGTGCCTTAGTTTTTAACAAAAAAGCTTAAAAGTAAACAGTAAAATTTAGAAAAAGAAAAAACTTCTAAAAAAGGATACAAAGAAAGAAAATTTTTTTACAGCTGTACGTTTGCATTTTAAGCTAAGTGTTATTACAAGAGTGAGAAAGTCTAAAAAGGCCAGGTGCAGTGGCTCACCTGAGGTCAGGAGTTTGTGACCAGCCTGGACAACATGGTGAAACCCCATCTCTACTAAAAATATAAAAATGAGTTGGGTGTGGTGGCACACGCCTGCAGTCCCAGCAACTCAGGAGGGTGAAGCAGGAGAATCACTTGAACCCAGGAGGCAGAGGTTGCAGTGAGCTGAGATCATGCCACTGTACTCAAGTCTGGGCGACGGAGCAAGACTCCCATCTTAAAAAAAAAAAAAGAAGAAAGAAAAACAAAAAAATCTAAAAAACCCAATCTGGACAACAAGCAAGACCTCGTCTCGTCTCTACAAAAATAAAAAATAAAAAAATTAACTGAGTTTGGTGGCCTGCACCAATAGTATCAGCTACTTGAGAAGCTGAGGTTGGAGGATCACTTGGGCCTAAGAGGTCGAGGTTGCAGTAAGCCATGATTGTGCCACTGAACTCCAGACTAGGTAACAGACCCTGTTTCTCAAAAAAGAGAAAAACAAAATCTTATAAAGTAAAAAAGTTAACAGTAAGCTAATTTATTGAAGAAAAAATGTTATATATATGTATATTATACACACACACACATACACACACACACATATATATAGATATATATACATATTTTTTATTCTTTTCTTTTTTGAGACAGTCTTGCTCTGTCTCCCAGGCTGGAGTGCAGTGGTGCAATCTCGGCTCACTATAACCTCCACCTCCCAGCTTCAAGCAATTCTCCTGCTTCAGCCTCCTGATTAGCTGGGACTACAGGTGCATGCCACCACACCTAGCTAACATTTTTTTGCATTTTTTCTTTAGTAGAGATGGGGTTTTGCCATGTTGCCCAGGCTGGACTTGAACTCCTGAGCTCAGATGATCTGCCCACCTAGGCCTCCCAAAGTATTAGGATTACAGGTGTGAGCCACCATGCCTGGCCAAAAAAAATTTTTTAATAAATTTAGTATAGGCTAAGCATGCAATGTTTATAACAGTCTACAGTAGGGTATGTTCCAACTGCCTACAGCATTCAGGACACTAACATGCTGTATGGGTTTGTAGCCTCGGAGCAATATACTGCACCATATAGCCTAGGCATACAATAGGCTATACCATCTAGGTTTGTGGAAGTATAAAACATGATGTTCACCTAATGATACAATCACCTAACGATGTGTTTCTCAGAATGTATCTCTGTCATTAAGTGATGCGTGACTATATTTTTTCCTTTACCTTATCTCTAACATTATATTGTAAGGGTAGGCACTGTGTTATCAAGCCTGTATTCCTAACAAAATCTATGTTTGTTAAAGGAACATTTATTGTGAGTTTATGATGTGTCAGGCACAGTGCTAGGTACTTCCAATTTGAGACATAATTTCATAGATGAAAACACTGAAACTCTGAGAAATTAAGAACTTATTCAAAGTCACTCAGCTGGCAAATGGCTTGTACCAGTATACCTTATATACACTGAGTAAAGGATCTGTTTGCATGAACAAACAAAAAATTCATATTCTTGTAAGTATTTTTATACCCTGTACCAGTAGGTCTTTCTTTAAATAAATTCTGAAGATGAACAATTTCTGTCCCATCTAAAATATTCAAAACAAAGTCCACCTGTTCTGACTCTAGAATAAAAAGCTACGAATAGAGGAAATAAGTAAGTTGAATTCAAATGTTGCTGAGAATACTTCTATGGTCACACTGATAACATTCATGTCATTCTTAGGCACCAGTCTTACTGTGTATGAAGTCAATTTTTCATTCCATTACATAGAACTTATATTTAAGAAAAATCCAATGGCCAATAGTCTCCAACACCATATGATCATAATCCTTTAGCTTAGGCAGAGATCTGCTTACCAGATGAGGAGCCATCAACCTAAGGGAAGATAAGATGTAAGAGAATGAAGACAGAGGTATATCAAGTAACAGGAATGTTCTTCCTTATGAGGATAAAATGTTTATCAGTACTCAAATAATATAATCTTAAGTGGAAAGAGACAGGAGAGAGCATGGTTAAATGATGGAAAATGAAGCAAGGGAGAAGCTGATCATGATCCTGTGCAATATTATGACAGCAGAGGTATTAAGTGTCCAATACAAGGATACTTAATAAACCAAAGAATTTTAAATCCCAGGGAACTTGAATAACCAGCCACAGAAGAGGCCATCAACAAATTAGGAAATATTAAGAGAGCAGCAGGTTTCTTCTTGGTAGACAGCCCATACTACCATCCACAAAAAAAGTGAGGGGTCGAAGGGGTATTTAATGTGAAGGCTTTATTTAGAATTTCTGTTCCAGATGCCTCTCCATAACATTCATCACACCTTCCTTCACATTGGAAGGGAAAAGTCCTTAAGAGTTCCCCACATTTGGGTGATATTTTTTAGCATAAACTTTTGTTCTTCTATAAGAAGTAACTCTCTGGATTCAAACCATAGAAATGTCAGTGAATGTTATTTCCATTGTATAATCATTTAAAAGTCATCAACAGGTGCAGCGGCTTGTGCCTATAATCTCAGCTACTCAGGAGGCTGAGGCATGATGATTGCATGAGGTCAGGAGTTCAAGACCAACCAGGGCAACATAGGGAGATCCCATCTCTCAAGAAAAAAAAACAAGGCACCTACAAATTGAAATTGACTTGAAAGTTTAGGATCATTTTTCACCAGTCCGTGTGCTTGTAGCTGACTTCAAATGTTTGGTACAGGTGACTGTAAGACTTCAAGTATTCCATGAGAACAACATTCATGCTGGGATCATAAAATTGCATTTCTGGGACACTGTTTTTAAAGTCTGTTTTTTAATTTTTGTCTTCAAGAGCTACTTTCTTCTTGCTGTTCTGACGAGTGACCTTTTTCCTGTGAAGAGGAAAGTAAGGAAAACTAAATAAATTCTAGATATATTTACTTTCTATAACCCTACCACTAGTTTAATAAACATTTACTGAAACCTACTGTATATTAAATAATGAGGCACTAGAAACACAAAGATGCATTAGACATGGTCTCTGCCCTTTAGAAAATCACAATCACCTAAGTGAGGCAGAACCATCACAGTAAACTACATGACTACATGGTATGATAGACAGATTTGGACCCTGACCTAAGGGTTCATATTGATCCAGTGCCTACTAAGTGCTAGACTCTGTTATTGAGTGCTTTACATGTATTAACTGGCGTAATCTTCCTAACAACTTATGAGTATTCTATTATTATCCTCTGTTTACAGATGAGGAAAATGAGGCACAGAGTGGTTAAGTAACTTGTCAGTATCACTCATTGAAGAAAGGGAAAAGCTGATCACATAATCCATGTTAGACATGAATCCTATCTGTCTGATCCTATAGCCTAGTGAAGGTTGAATGTCATTAACTAAGCGGTAACAGGTAAAGGAACAAAGTTTTGAGAAAATAATCAGTGTTTGCAAACTATTATTACAGTAATACAAAGTTCTTTGGTGTACATTAACTCATATAATTCCAAATCCCAACTCCACACAGGGAAGTAGATATTAGAACCAGTTCTCTGGCCAGGTACGGTGGCTCATGCCTATAATCCTAGCACTCTGGGAAGCTGAGACGGGTGGATCACGAGGTCAAGAGATCGAGAGCATTCTGGTCAACATGGTGAAACCCCATCTCTACTAAAAATACAAAAACTAGCTGGGCATGGTGGCGCACAACTGTAGTCCCACCTACTCGGGAGGCTAAGGCAGGAGAATTGCTTGAACCCGGGAAACGGAGGTTGCGGTGAGCCAAGATTGTGCCATTGCACTCCAGCCTGGGTAACAAGAGCGAAACTCCGTCTCAAAAATAAATAAGTAAATAAATAGAACCAGTTCCTCTGACTCCAAATCCAGTTCCTCCCCACTCCCTGCAGGGGGCTGAGTTTGTGGTACCTGAAGTGAGGTCCACTAGGCCACAAGGATTCAGGTTTGTAGCTCAACGGGGAAGTTGGGGCTGAAGATACAACCTTAAGAGCTATCAGCATAGAGGTATGAGCTGAGCCTATAGGGATGGGTGGGATCATTAAGGGAACATCAATAGTGTAGAGGTAAGCCAGAGTTGGATCACGATGGGTCTTGCTTGTATGCTATGTTAAGTAGCATGGCCTTTACATGTGAGGAAAATGGAGACACAACCAAAGCACCTTAAGCAGGGGGCTGATATGACAAGATTTATACCAGTGTCTTCAAAGTCTTAGTACAAATTTAAGTTTTAATGACCTCAGAAGTAGGCTGGTGCAGTGGTTCATGCCTGTAACTCCAGCACTTTGGGGGACCGAGGCAGACAGATTGCTTGAGTCCAGGCGTTTGAGACCAGCCTGGGCAACATGGCAAACCCCATCTCTACTAAAAATACAAAAAAGTAGTCAGCCATGGTGGCCCAAGCCTGCAGTCCCAGCTTCTCGGGGGGCTGAGGTGGGAGGACTGCTTGAGCCCAGGAGGTCAAGGCTGCAATGAGCCCTGATTGTGCCATTGCATTCCAGTCTGGGTGACATGAGTGAGACTCTGTCTCCAAAAACAAACAAAAATCCCCAGAAGTATAAATGCTACAGACTTATTTAAAAAAGCATTTAAAGTATGATTATTTAAAATACTGATATATCTTATTAAAATTCAACATAGTCACCATCTTATGTTCTAGCTGATTTTTGACCTTTGTAAAAAATTTCATCAGTTGCTGCTCAGTGCCTGAAAGGACAGCACTTGTTATCTTGGCTTTAAGACTATCCAAAGAGTAATGCATGCACAACAGTTCTGATGTGACCCACTCCTCTCCCACCAACAAGAAAAAGACTATTAAGACAGATTAGGTGACCGAGGTAGCCAAGCATGACAAGGTTCTCTACCAGTCCATCAGTCTAAGTGTCACCCAGAAACCGTTGCCATAAAAAATTAAAATTCAAAAATGTTGGCCAGGTGCAGTGGCTCACACTTGTAATCCCAGTACTTTGGGCAGATCACATGAGGCCAGGAGTTCAAGACCAGCCTGGCCAACATGGTGAAACCCTGTCTCTACTAAAAATACAAAAATTAGCTGGGTGTGGTGGTGGGCGCCTGTAATCTCAGCTACCCCGGAGGCTGAGACACGATAACTGCTTGAACCACGGACGTGGAGGTTGCAGTGAGCTGAGATTGAACCACTGCACTCCGGCCTGGGTGACATGGTGGCAGAGCAAGACTCCATCTCAAAAAAAAAAGTGAATGTGAATAATTCCCAAAACTGAAAAAGTACAAATGGAATTAAAAGGACTAATACTTTTTTCAGTTTGTAGCACTTATCCTTTCCAAGTTATTAAAACTTGGAAATACAATAAAATTTTGGGACACCATATACATTGTATATTTGAACTTTTATTCCTCATAGTCAATACCAACATGTGAGGACTCTTGTTCCACATATTTACAAACTACACGCTAATTTTCATGCCTTTGTTCATGTTGTTCCCGTCTCCATGCCTAAAATTTACCTATCCTTATAGTTTTTCTTGAAACTTCTGTAACCACACCAATTCACAATCATCTTTCCCTTCTCTAAACTCTTATTTAAAAACTAGTCTCTAATTTTCTTTCACGTACATGAGTCTTCTTTCCCTAACTTCAGGAAAAGAGTCTCATTTTATACAGTCTCATCTGAATACCCGATCACCACCAAGTACCTTGCAAGACAACTTGGTAAGTGCCTACTAGTTGATGGAGACAGTTTTTTTTTTTTTTTTTTTAATGACGTCTACGGAACAGATGTGAGGTAACTAGAGAAAAGTATTAGCTTATTTCACAATGATAATATCCTAGGTAGCACTGTCAGGGAAAAAAAAAAACACAATAAATTATAGACTTGGACAATTCTATTAGAGTAAATAATAACCTGGTCCTGGTAGAATTTGAAGAGTGCCATTTTCCTTAAATAGTGGAAAGAGTATTACTGTTCAGAATATCTTGGCCTATCCTTTTTAAAATACAAAGCTTCCTAGTACTACTGGGCAAAATAAGGTAGCCTGTATGTATGCTAAAAGTCTATGCTTTAATATCCTCATAAAACTCAGCTAAGATAGCACAAATGTACCCAAGTAATACTTTTTACAGTTGTTACAATGTGCATCTGCATAAGCCTAAGACTATATTGAAATCCTGCCCAGAATATGGAGCTTCAAGGAAGACTAGATCCATGTGAATCAATGGTCCTAATTATTGGCTTTAGTAGCATGTGCTAATGCGGGCTGTGTAGAGAAGGTGGGCAGTACAATTCTAATTTACAGTGAATTGAAATCGTATTTTCCAAGACGGAAAAAAAACAGATCATTAACATATTGATACAGAAAAATTCCAACATTAAAACAAATTCCCAGCTGGGCACGGTGGCTCACACCTGTAATCCCAGCACTTGGGAAGGCTGAGGTGGGTGGATCACCTGAGGTCAGGAGTTTAAGAACAGCCTGGCCAACATGGTGAAACTCTGTCTCTACTAAAAATACAAAAAAATTAGCTGGGCATGGTGGCAGGCACCTGTAATCCCAGCTACTTGGGAGGCTGAGTTAGGAGAATCGTTTGAACCTGGGAGGCAGAGGTTGCAGTGAGCCGAGACCACACCATTGCACTCCAGACTGGGTGACAGTGCAAGACTCTGTCTCAAAAAAAAACAAACAAAAACCAAATCCCCCAATTACAGGCAACCTAAAATACAGTAGACTGTAGTATCAATTCTACTTCTAAAAAACTACCCTAATGAAAAATAATGCCTACTATAACTTTATGATGGTATCAAACAGCCATTTTTCTTACCACATACTTACCGTTTATCCTTAGCTTTTTCTAAGAAATATTTTGGAGTTGTACTAATGCTCTCCCTTTCCAATGGTTTCTTAACCATCTTTTTCTTTTGTTTGCTGAAAGTTACAAAGTCAAAGAGGAAACAAATTAAGTGCACTTCAATTAGAAGAGCTAAAGCTAAAATTAGTTTTGATCCTTGATCACAAAATTGATTTTTTAAAACCATTTACTGGTTTAAGGTGGGGCTGGATTTACCTTAATAAATAAGATCACCTAATAGCATTTAGAGAGCTAGCTCAAAGGGATGATAAATTCAGTCAACTTTTAAAAAACTGCTGATGCCAGGTGCTCACGCCTGTAATCCCAGCACTTTGGGTGGCCAAAGTGGGCGGATCACCTGAGGTCGGGAGTTCGAGACTAGCCTGACCAACTGGAGAAACCCCGACTCTACTAAAAATACAAAAAATTAGCTGGGTGTGGTAATGCATTCCTATAATCCCAGCTATGCGGGAGGCTAAGGTAGGGGAATCGCCTGAACCTGGGAGGCGAAGGTTGTGGTGAGCCAAGATCACACCATTGCACTCCAGCCTGGGCAACAAAAGCAAAACTCTGTCCAAAAAAAAAAAAAAAAAAAAAGCTACTGGCTGTGATTAAAATATGTCCTGTGCCAACCTTATATACTGTGTCAACAAGTATCAGAGTTTGACTTTGATCAATTAACTTTTTTTATCAGTTTTATGAACTAAAATAATTCTCAGCATATTTCACTTACACTGAACAGGTTTTAAAAGAATCTGAGGCCAGGTGCAGTGGCTCACGCCTGTAATCCCAGCACTTTGGGAGGCCTAGGTGGGTGGATCACAAGGTCAAGAGATCAAGACCATCCTATCTAACACAGTGAAACCCCATCTTCACTAAAAAATACAAAAAATTAGCCAGGCATGGTGGCAGGCGGCTGCAGTCCCAGCTACTTGGGAGGCTGAGGCAGGAAAATCGCTTGAATCCGGGAGGCGGAGGTTGCAGTGAGCTAAGATTGTTCCACTGCACTCCAGACTGGGTGACAGAGTGAGACTCCATCTCAAAAATAAAGAAAATATCTGAATACTTAAAATTTCAAGGATAAGGCTGGGTGTGGTAGCCACACCTGCAATCCCAGCACTTTGGGAGGCCAAGGTGGGCAGATCACTTGAGGTGAAGAGTTTGAGACCAGCCTGGCCAACATGGTGAAACCCCATCTCTACTAAAAATACAAACATTAACTGGATGTGGTGGCGCACACCTGTAATTCCAGTGACTTGGGAGGCTGAGGCAGTAGAACTGCTTAAACCCGGGAGGCGGAGGTTGCAGTGAGCCAAGACTTCATCTCAAGAAAACAAAACAAAACAAAACAAAACAAAAAAATCAAAGGATAAAAAACTGGCAAGGAAATAAAATATAATATTCACAAATAAGCAGTTTTGGGCTGGGTGCAGTGACTCATGCCTGTAATCCTAGCATTTTGGGAGGCTAAGATATAAGACAGTAGGATCACTTGAGGCCAGGAGTTCGAGTCTAGCCCGGCCAACACAGCAAGACCCCATCTCGACTCCCCCCAAAACTAAAAAATATTAGGTATGGTGGTGCATGCCTGTAGTTGCAGCTACCCATGCGGCTGAGGAAGGAGGATTACTTGAGCCCAGGAGGTCAAGGCTACAGTGAGCTGTGATCATGCCACGACATTCCAGTGTGGGCAATAGAGCAAAAAAAAAAAAAAAAAAAAAAAAAAAAAAAAAAAAAAAAAAAAAAAAAAAAAGAATGTATATACAAAGAGACAGAGAGACAAAGATCCAGGTAAATTCAAGATTGTACCTTAGTAGTTTCTGAAAACCTTTTATGTATTCTGGTACAGGACACCCGGCCTGCTGTATAACATTGGCAACGCTGAAAAAGGAACCCATAAACATAAACTTGTATCTTGCTAAACTGATGCTTATGTATGTAAACTCTCTGCACAACGTAAAAGGGAACTAAAACTACACAAAGTAATCCACAAAGTGTTCTGATATATTACCAATTATCACCTGATGTAAGCACATTGGATTACTGACAGAACTACCCACTGCGCTAAAATTAATGCACTGATGAGTAACTATATATAGCAGCTACTTTAACATTTATCAAGCCCTACAAAGCTGGTAAACTCAGTCTTGGAGGAAGCATTGACTGAAGCCAGAGTCAAGCTTAAATTCATTAAGTGACAGTGCCTACTAGAGTGTTGGCACTGCTGCAAGTTTTTGTGTAAAGTAACTTCTTCACTCTTCGCAAGAAACCTGTATAGTAAATACTATCACTATCCTCATTTCACAGACGGAAAGCTGAAGTACATAGTTACACTAACGTTTGGGTCACCAGATTCACATGCTTGGAGTTTCTGAGGCATGTGGTGGATCTAGGTTGTTGGAATATACCCCTCTACACTGCACATTTGAATCTGTTCAAAGAGATACAAAGGCTGACAGGTGGCAGAGCCAAAGCTCAGAAAGCACAATCAAAAGCTTTACCAAAACAGATAAACAGATCTAAGTACAAACCCCCTTTGGCCAAAACTAGATTTCATTTCCTAGAAATGTAAAGTGTTAAAGAAAAGGAAAAAAAAAAAAAAAAAAAAGAAAAAAAAAAAAAAAAAAAAAAAAAAAAAAAAAAAAGTAGAAATGTAAAGTGTTATCAATCATCATCAACCAAAAATTGCTGTAGGCAGTCAAAATGCAAGAAACTCATCTTCTACATGAAAATCTATGATGATGGACTTAAGACCTGATATTGTGAAAGTATATCACATATACTCTGGCTTCAAAGGGCCACAATTACATGATATTAGAATGTGCTAGTTTTTCCTATATGGCAAATACATATAAAACTAGAACTAAATATAAAACTCTAGTTGCCCCTAAGAGGAATGGGAAAGATGTACCATGGTAAGAGATAATGCTGGCCGGGAGCAGTGGCTCATGCCTGTAATCCCAGCACTTTGGGAGGCCGAGGTAGGTGGATCATTTGATGTTAGGAGTTTGATTCTAGCTTGCCCAACGTGGTGGGACTGTCTCTACTATAAATACAAAGATTAACCTGGTGTGGTGGCAGGCACCTATAACCCCAGGTACTCAGGAGTTGAGGCAGGAGAATCACTTCAACCCGGGAGGCAGAGGGTGCAGTGAGCCGAGATCGTGCCACTGCATTCCAGCCTGGGTGACAGAGACGCTGTCTCAAAAAAAAAAAAAAAAAAAAAAAAAAAAAAAAAAAAAAAAAAAAAAAAGAGAGATAATGCTGACTGGCTTGTAGAGACTCAGGGATTAACCAATTTTAAATTATTCACTAATTTTAAAACCTTAATATTACATAGTAGGTAACATCAACTGATGGCCATTGAAAGAGTCCTATGAGTCTGAAACTTACAATGAATATTCTACTTTGAATATGTATTTCCAAATTCCAATAATGGAAGGGCAAAAACAAGGCCCTTCGGTCATTTTTCCTTTCCCACCTTTCCTATGGCTAAAATTTGGTTGACTAACACTATTATCAGCAGAATTTGGGACATAGCCATTATCTCTTAATTGAATCCAATTTTGCCAGTTTCACACTAGGTTATTTTTTCTAATTTACCTTCTTAATAATGGTTTATCATCTTCAGTGAAAAATGTAATTGCTTTTCCCTTATTCCCTGCTCTTCCAGTTCGACCTAAGAAAAATCAGACCATTTAAAAACACATTATTTTGCGAAATTTATTTATAGAAGTCACTGGATTTTCACAGCACTAAGAAAGGACCATGTGTGCAGGGAATAGCAGAGGTGCTAAGACAGATCAGTGGGTGACAGAGGGAAAGGAAAAAAGGCAACTCACCTATCCTGTGGATATATTCCACTGAGCTGGTTGGAAAGTCATAGTTGATCACCAGGTTCACACCTTTAAAATCAATCCCTCTTGCGAGCAAGGCTGTACAAATCAGAACCCAGATTTTTCCTGCTCTGAAACTGTAGACAGTGTTATCTCTCTGGTTAACAGAATACATATTAAATTGCTTTAGAATGAAAACAGGTACTTCATAAATTTTATGCCAATAATTTAAAATTAAGTAGTTCTTCTGATTTTCAAAGTATACATTTGACTTTACCTGTTGCTGTGTTCTCTCTGCATGAATAACATCCACATTAATACCTTCATATATGAGCTCATGAAAAAGCTCTTTAGCCCTTTCAATGGACTGAACAAAAACAAGAACAGGTGGATTGAAACCCTAAAACAAAGAAGGCAAAAATTGGCACATATAACTCAATCAAAAATACAGCTGGTCAGTATTTCATAATCTGATTGTAGCTCTCTAAAGAACTCAATTCAATTTAGTGTACTTTCTGGGCCAAATTTCTTGGGCCAGTAGTCTAACTCTGCCTCCATCTTCCTCAACATTCTCTCTAATTGGTTATTTTCACTCAACTTGAACTGTATTCTCCATCTTGCTAATTCCAATAACCTTGTCTAATCAATCCCCCTGCACCCTCCTGCAATAACAGATGCCCAAACTCTGAATAATCATCTCTTGACTCCTGTGCTTCAGAACTTTTTTTGGTTCTGCTTAAAGTGAAATAAATATCTTTTTAATTCATTGGGTTTTTCTGGGTGAAATTAATTTTTACTCTTATGGATTTAGGGGTACAAGTGCCGTTATGTTACACGGATATATTGCATAGGGGTGAAATCTGGGCTTTTAGTTGTACCCATCACCCCAGTGGTGTACACTGTACCCAACAGGTGGTATTTCATCCCTCATTAACACATTATTTATCCTAATGATGGTACTCTCCCCAAGCTTGGTCCTCCGTTCTCAGTTCTTTCAACATCATCTTTATCTTATTGAGTTGAATCTCTACTACTGGCCATAAACAAATTATTTTTTTACTACATCTGACATCTGTGTATCCAAGTAAACTAGTTTTACATTTATACTATCAAACCCTTACTCTCTCTCAAACCAGCTTCCTATCTTTTTAACTGTTCATATTAGAGTTTCTTAGCCTTTTTATGATGGTTTACACACCTCCTTTGGAATCTAATGAAGGCTAAGAAACTTTCTTGTAGTAACCACTCATTCACACAAAGTCTTACATACAATTTTAGAGGGTTTGCAGACCTCCCAAAGCTCATACGTGGCTAAAAATCTCTGGTGTATGTTCTCCAAGGGAATATCCTAGAAATCCTTAAATTTCCTAGTGCCAAATAATTTTTTTTTTTTTTTTTTTAATTTCCTAGTGCCAAATAATTTTTTTTTTTTTTTTTTTTAAGACAGAGTCTCGCTCCGTTGCCAGGGTGGAGTGCAGTGGTGCAATCTCAGCTAACTGCAACCTCCGCCTCCCAGATGCAAGTGATTCTCTTGCCTCAGCCTCCCGAGTAGCTGGGAATACAGGCACACACCACCATGCCTAGCTAATTTTTGCATTTTTAGAAGAGACAGGGTTTCACTATGTGGGCCAGGATGGTCTTGATCTCTTGACCTCTTGATCCACTTGCACTGGCCTCCCAAAGTGCTGGGATTAGAGGCATGAGCCACTGTGCCCGGCCAATTCTTTTAAGAATATTAAAACTTCAGCAGGGCACGGTGGCTCACGCCTATGATCCTAGCACTTTGGGAGGCCACGGCGGGCGGATGACCTGCAGTTGAGGGTTCAAGACCAGCCTGACCAACATAGAGAAACCCCATCTCTACTAGAAATACAAAGTTAGCCGGTGTGTGGTGGCACATGCCTGTGATCCCAGCTGCTTGGGAGGCTAAAGCAAGAGAATCGCTTGAACCTGGGAGGTGGAGGTTGAGCCAAGATGGCGCCATTGCACTCCAGCCTGGGTGGCAAGAGCAAAACTCATTCTCAAAAAAAAAAAAAAAAAAAAAAGAATATTAAAACTTCTACCCAAGTAGGCTGGCTCCAGAGTCCATGCTCTTAACCACTAAAGCAAACCATTTCTATAGTCACCAGGTACTTGCAAACCTTTCCCTTTCAATCTCCAACTCTACTTAATGTTTCACCACTAAGGCTGCTGCCCTTATTTCTTCCTCACCTCTGCCTAACCTAGTTTAAAAGCCTGATTGGTCTCCTTACTTTCAGTCTTTTCCTTTACATATTACTGTTTAACTACCTTTCCTTAAAAATTATGTAGCCACATGCTTCAAAAATATCCTGATCCAAACTTTCCTGTAATCTGGTTTTCTTTAATTCCATACCATAAACGGTTTGCCTTAGACAGGTAACTGCTTCGTTAGTCTTCAAACACATGGTGTTCACTTCTACCTCTTAAGGCTTTACTCAAGCTGCTCCCAGAGCCATCAATACTCTTTCCCTCCACCTTTTATCCTGAAAATCCTTCAAGGATCAGTTTAGTAGCATTTCTTCTGTAGGGCTCAACCAATTCAGTTCACCCTTATGACTCCATTATGACTATATGGATGCTTAAAAAAGTACTCCTTAGCCCTTTGTGACACTTTATCAGAAACTATCTTACATAAGTATATTTATCTTATCCCTCTAAATAAGACTAAATTCCAGGGGCAGGGCTTAGGAGATTTCTTGTATTGTCCAGCACTGACACCTCAGTACTTAACTTTTTAACTATGGCTTCTACTCAGTACTTCCTGAAAGGATATAAACAGAAAACCCCACTCAGTGTCCTACTATGCCCCAGTTCTTCTATAAGAAACCAGCAGGGGAATGGAGAGCAAATGCGGAAAAATGAGATTCTCAGGGGTCATCAGGTAGATCATTCCCTCGCCTACTCTGAGCTGCAAAAAGACAACTTACCATGTTCTGAGAGGCAAGCTTCTTTCCCTTGGGATAAAAGTTGGGACAATATACTTCTTAACAATTTACTGCTGGATTACTAAATACGACGCAGGATGATCATATTGTTGGCACAATGCACTTTCTTATTAATTTACCAATGGATTACTGAATACAAGGCAAGATGATGATGATACAGTGCTACCACTGTAATAGCCTCCTACCAGTAATATAAGACTTGACGAACTTCACCAAAATTCAAGAAGTTAATCCACATATACCTTTTTAACAAGTTCTCTCATGGCCAGAAGTTTTCCAGTCTCAGATCCGACAAAGAGAAGCTCTTGTTCTACAGTTTCTACTGCAGAATTCCTGAGAATAAAATATATCTTGTAGTTTGTAAGAGGCAATTTTTGCTTATCCCCAACGAACTCTAAATAAAAAAATTTACACACAACTCCAACAAAATCAACTTTTCCACTGTCAATAAGTACTTAATTATTTATGCCTTAACTTGAAGATAAAACTGTTATTTTTAAATGCTTTCTTGTAATTTAAAAAATATCTTGAAATGCCACCCATTAAAACTTATGTTTCAGTCATAAATTTTCATGTATTTGATTACTTAATTACAAAAAATTTCTAACTGTAAAATTATTGAGTAAAACAATGAAAACATTTTAAAGGTTGTTATTACATATGGTTAAACTTTTTTCATAATGATTAGCAAAGATTTATTTACAGACCGATAGTTGAGGGTGAGATATATTAAGGCTTTATACTCTATAAGATGTTGCAATGTACTATATTGTATCATAAATATTTTTTCCCATTATTGTCAGCCTTTAAATTATGTTCACAGTGAACTTATTCTGCTTTCCTCTATTTTTTTTTTTTTTGATATGGAGTTTTTCTCTGTTGCCCAGGCTGGAGTGCAATGGCACAATCTCGGCTCACTGCAACCTCCACCTCCCAGGTTCAAGAGATTCTCCAGACTCAGCCTCCTGAGCAGTTGGGATTACAGGTGTCCGCCACCAAGCTCAGCTGATTTTTGTATTTTTAGTAGAGACAGGGTTTTACCATGTTGGTCAGGCTGGTCTCAAACTCCTGACCTCATGATCTGCCCGTCTCGGCCTCCCAAAGTGCTAGGATTACAGGCATGAGCTACTGTGCCTGGCCTCCTCTATTTTTTTTTTTTTTTTTTTTTGAGATGGAGTCTCCCTCTGTCACCCAGTCTGGAGTGCAGTGGTGCCATCCTGGCCCACTGCAACCTCCACCTCCCAGGTTCAAGCAATTCTCTTGCCTTGGCCTCCCAAGTAGCTAGGATTATAGGCACGTGCCACCACTCCCAACTAGTTTTTATATTTTTGGTAGAGACGGGGTTTCGCCATGCTGGTCAGGCTGGTGTCAAACTCCTGACCTCATGTGATCTGCCTGTCTTGGCCTCCACAAGTGCTGGGATTACAGGTGTAAGCCCTTTCACTGGCCGTACTTTCTTCTTATACACAGGAATTTTAGGTTTAAAACAGAGTATTCTTTACTGTTCCACTGGCTACATTTTCGCTTAATTTGGTATTACAAACACTTTTTCATATAGCTACAGTCTTCCTACATCATTTCCAGGGTTATGTAATAATCCATCAAGTAGCAATATCATAATTTCTTTAAACTTTTTTCTGTCACTGAGCATTTATTTAGCATAACATGCTCCCCAAAGTATTTTTAAAAGGAAATGTAAATCAAGTGGCTCAGTAACATCAGATTCTTCCTCTTTGGTCCATTTATTTAAGCCATCAAAGAAACTGAATCTTCTACATAGCCACAGAGCTCATGTTATACTCTGTGGATGGGAAAAAAAAAAAAAAAAAAAAACACCTAAAAGCATGATGACAGGAATGTTAATATGACAATCTAAGAACCTCCTTTTGGATTACTCTAAAATAGAAGATCCTTAAACATTCTCGGCTTAAAAGAACACATTTCAAGTAGTAAAACTCTCTCCCTTGTTAGTCAGGCCAAGAAACCTATCTTCTTCAGTCTTAAGAAAAGACTTGTATTAAAAAAAAAATCAACGGGATAATGTTGAAAAACAAATACCTTGCTCCAATGGACACACTGACGACATTGTCCAGGTTGAGTTTGCACCACTGTTCAACATCATATGCAAAAGTTGCACTGAACATAGCTCTTCTGACCTTGTGGGATGTGCAGGCCAGGAAGATGGAAGCCAGCTGGTCTCTGAATCCAGTTTTGCCATCTTCAAACAGTTTATCTGATTCGTCTACTACAAGCCACTCAACACTAAGAAATAACAAATCACCTTGTGCATATTGAACTGAAAGATCCAAGACACTTCACTACACCATGGGGACAGAGGACACATGAGGAAGTCCCACCCCACCACCATGTAAGATGTCCCTTGCTTCCTCTTCTGCCATGACTGTAAGTTTCCTAAGGCCTCCCAGTCATGCCCCCGACTTGTGAGTCAATTAAACCCTCCTTTCTTTATAAATTACCCAGTTGCAGGTAGTTCTTTAGAGCAACATGAAAACAGACTAACACAGCAGGAAAAAGGTAAAAACAAGATAAATATAGCTCAATGTATCTATTCCAATAGCCTCAAAGATACATTCCATTAACAACAGAGCTTTTCATAAACTTCATTAACTCCATCACCATTGCTGAAAGACACAAAAAGGCCTAGGGGAATTCTGTACTAACTGCTTATCAAAATGTGCAACTTTCTTCTAGACCAGATAGTTCTCTTTTCTAAGAGTTTTAAAAAAATCATTATTCTTAGTGCCAACACTGACTGAAGGGAGCAAATAGCAAGCTCCAAAGGGCAAAAATATAAGCAGCAGAAGACAAAATAGAATCAACTAAGAGAAAAACATACATGAAAGACACGAAAATATCATCTGTACCTTGTTAGGTCGATTCCTGGGGGATCTTGCTTTAATAAATAGATTAGTCGATTTGGAGTAGTCACAAGAATATCTATAGGAAAAACAAATAGTAGAAATTGCAAAAACAAGATTTAACTCTCTTGAACTAGCAATTAAGCCTCCTCAATTTCAGTTAATAACCTGAAGTGGGAAGTAGTCATAGCCAACAACAGAAAACTATTATATTCCTACTTTCCTTTGAGTACATTTGAGCAGCCTTTTCAACTCTTTTGTTTTTTTTTTTTTTTGAGACAGGATCTTGCTCTGTCACCTAGGCTGGATGGAATATAATAGCTCACTGCATGCAACCTTGAACTCCTGGGCTCAAGAGATCCTCTGGCATCAGGATTCTGAGTAGCTGGGACTACAGGCACTGCACCAGGCTAATTTTTTTCTTACTTTTATTTTTTATAGAAACAGGCTCTCCCTATGTTGCCCAGGCTGGTCTCGAACTCTTAGACTCAAACAATCTCCTTGGCCTCAGCCTCTCAAAATGGATTACAGGCATGAGCCACCACACCCAGCCTCTTCTCAATTTCTAAGAGGCAAGAACAATTTGATTTTCAAACCTTTCTTTTCCTCCAGTAAAATTCTTTTTTTAAAATGGAATTTTATGCAGAGGCCCAAGGTTTAAAAAAAAAAAAAAAAACAAAAAAACAACCAAACAGATGAAAGCTTTTCTCCAAGTGGATGATGTCAAAAAACAAAAAGAAAAACAGATGAAAGCAGATTCTCTGGCTGATAAAAGGGTGGGGATGTGAGCCATTCTTTTTGTTTTTTTTTTAAGATAGGGGTCTCACTCTGTTGCTCAGGAATACAGTGGTGCAATCACAGCTCATGGCACCCTTGAACTCCTGGACTCAAGTGATCTTCCCGCCTCAGCCTGCAAAGTAGCTAGGAGTATAGGTGCACACCACCATGCATGGCTAATTTTTTTTTTTTTAGTTTTAAAATTTCTTTTAGGGATAGAGTCTCACTATGTTGCCCAGGCTGGTCCCAAACTCCTGGCCTCAAGCAATCCTCCCACCTCAGCTTCTCCACCTCTGTAGCTGGGATTAAAGGTGTGAGTCACTTCACCCAGCTATGCATGCCATTCTTATCTGCCAGAGTATTTCCACGGCAGATTAAAAATCAGTGGTATAAATCAGAATTTTTTGGCCTTAGCACTGTTACCATTTTGGACCAGCTAATGCTTCATTGCAGGGGACTGTCTTGTGCATTGCAGAATGTTTAATAGCATTCTTGGCTATAGACTAGCAGCACTTCTCCCCAGCTGTGACAATTAAAAATGTCTCCAGATTATTGCTAAATGTCCCTGTGATAAAAGGTGGGGGGCAAGATTGTCTCTAGTTGAGAACTACTGGTATATATTTATGTATAGCTTCTCAGTATAATGAGAAGGGGATCTCTCTAGTTCTTCTAAAATTCAAATTTTATACATACATGACTATACTTTAACAACTCTTACATAGCAATTGGGATATTTATAATTTCCAGATTCCTTTACATGCTCTACATCCCATGCATGAATTCCTTACCAAACTTCTTAGATGATTTAGGTCCAAATTTCTTGGCTGCCACTGCTGCTTTGTGAATCATGTGTATCCTGAATCCTGTTCCGTCAGAAATTTTTATTAACTCTCTGTGAATCTTAAAAAAAAAATAAATAAATAAAAATAAAAACGTTAGCTGCTAACATACTTGGACAAGATGTATACTCTTCTTTTACATAATTAATAAATTTATTACCAATCCATGAATATCTGAAATTAAACTCATAATAATCTGTAAATTAACCTGAAGTCTCAGCATTTTGAAACATCCATACCTAACACAAGTCACTAATTTCTTCAGGTGGAGTAAACTAGTTCCCAGAGATAAAACTAACCTGCTACGTACTGTTTTCAGAATACAGTACTATTGGCTTGGTGCCAGGTCTCACACCTGAAATCCCAGCACTCTGAAAGGCCAAGGTGGGTGGATCACTTGAGACCAGGAGTTGCAGACCAGTCTGGCCAACGTGGTGAAACCCCATCTCTACTAAAAATACAAAAATAATTAGCCAGGCATGATGGCGTGAGCCTGTAATCCCAGCTACTTAAGAGGCTAAAGTAGGAGAATCACTTGAACCTGGGAGGCGGAAGTTGCAGTGAGCCGAGGTTGTACCACTGCGCTCCAGCCTGGGCCACCAGAGCGTGACTGTCTCAAAAAAAAAAAAAAAAAAAATACAGTACTATTACAAGACGATTTCATACTTGATATGTGTTTTATATTATGCACATTGGGAGGGTGGAACTGATCACTGGTATAATTTTCCTTTCTCAAAAAAAACTGAGATGAGTCAAGCACAATGACTGATGTCTACAAACCCTGTACTTTGGTAGGCCAAGGCGGGAGGATCACTTGAATCCAGGAGTTCAAGACCAGCCTGGGCAACATAGGGAGACCTTGTTTCCACAAAAAGAAAAAAAACCAGGTGCAGTGGCATGTGCCTGTAGTCCCAGTTACTCAAGAGGGTGAGATGGGAGATCTCTTGAGCCGGGAGTTTGAGGTTGCAGTAAGCCATGATCACAACACTGCATGCCAGCTTGGGCAAGAGTAAGAATCTGGGGCTAAAAACAACCAAATAAATAAATAAAAACCAAAACTAAGATAAGTTTTATTTCTTTTTTTTTTTTTGAGATGGAGTCTCACTCTTGTCGCCCAGGCTGGAGTGCAGTGGCGTGATCTCAGCTCACTGCAACCTCTGCCTTCCAGGTTCAAGCGTATGATACTCCTGCCTCAGCCTCCTGAGTATCTAGGATTACAGGTGCCCACCATCACACCCGGCTAATTTTTGTATTTTTTTTTAGTAGAGAGTGGGTTTCACCATGTTGGCCAGGCTGATCTCAAACTCCTGACCTCAAGTGATCCGCCTGCCTCGGCCTCCCAAAGTGCTGGGATTACAGGCGTGAGCCACCGTGCCCAGCCAAGTTTTTTTTTTTTTTTTGGATGAGAAAAATAAATGTCCAAGAAGGACTGTATTTCAGTAGTCTTTCAACTTCAAAGACCCTGAAGCATTTACCAAAGAAGTGTAAATATGAAAATCACTGTGAAACTTATAGAAAGACTTAAAAGACTTGCCCATATGGAGTAAGATCCAGAGCACTGTGCTATGTAGAGAATACTTGATCATGACAGAAGACATGGTCCTTACTCTTTTATGATCTTTTTATTACCTTCGAATAAGAAAGATCACTGAAGTAAACTAAACGCCAATCACACTCGTAGCTTTCGCTACAAGTCATACCTGGCTGGCAAGTTCTCGTGTTGGTGATATAATCAGGGCTCTGAAGCCTTTATTTGCTGGCTGTTTCAGCTGCATTAAAATAGGAATGCTAAAAGCTAGTGTTTTTCCAGATCCAGTTGGAGCAGAAGCCAGAAGTTCCCGACCCTAAAAACAAAGGGCATATTAAATATTACAAAGAAAAGTACATAAATTTTTCAGATCCTGGTCAAATAATGCTACCAGACATAGAAAAAAAGCAAATAAAATTTTACATAATGAATCCAATCATTCAAGTCGTATTTGCTTTCCTAACATCATCCATCCATGCCACCATCACCCCAACAAAGTTTCTGAGCATTGCCCCCGAATTCCCTTTGAATGGATGTAAAGAATGTGGATACCTAAAATCCAAAGATAATCCATAACCTAAGTTATGTCCTTTATTTCAATTTTTCTTTTCCACTAAACTATTGTCAAAACAAAACTATAGAACCAACTTTTTGTCCTGGTATCTGTATTGCTCAATCACTAGGGAAGGTTTTATTAAATAACAGAATGGCTGAAGGTCAGAAATAAAAAATGGCAATGATCTGAGGGACAGAGTATTTATAGGAGACAATTTTCAAAAAGTCACTGTGATTTTTAAAACTTTAAACTAAAGCCATGATAGAAACAATCTTAAACAAAAATTAAAAGCAAATATACTATAACATGAGTCAACAGCATCATTTAAATGTATGAATGTATTCTCATTTCAGCTCTTGAAGAAAATGAAAAGGACTAGTATAGACGAAAAGGTATCTTACATCCTTTGAACTGAAGGCCATCTCAGTTATATGGGGAAAAAACCCAACTCTCATTGCTATAAAAACAAGCCACAGAGAAACTTAATGTCCGAAAACCTAAGTTAATTCAGATTTCTACCAACAAGTGACTGGATAACAAGTTGTGGTAAATTCATACAACATACTACTACTCAGTAACAAACTATTGATGTATGTATGCATGAATCTCAAAAGCATTACATAAAACAAAAGAAACCAGAAATAAAAGATTAATGTGTGATTCCACTCATATAAAACTCTAGAACAGGCACAAGAAATATACAGCAGTAGAAATCAAAACAGTAGTTGCCTCTGATCAGGGGTGGGGTGAAGACTCAATGGAAAGGGCACAAGAAAATTGTCTGGGGTAATATATATGTTCTACATCTTCACTGGAGTGGTGGCTACACAGGGTTTGCATTGCTGAAACTCACTGGGCACTTAAAAATCTATGCATTTTATTGTATGTAAAATATACTTTGGGAAAAACAGTAAGTCAGGTTATATACAAGAACTTTAGAAACCATCTGTATTTCTGGAACAGTTCCTGGGCATTATAAACTAAATAAATAACGAATGAATAGAACATAATCCCCATTCTCCAAGGGGTTACACAATAGGAAAATGAAAAAGGTAAGAATGATGGGGCAAATACACAGTAGTGTAAAATGTAAAATAAATGTTGCAAGGAAAAGAACGCACCAAAAACCATGGAGAATTGCTGTGTAGGGCAAGGGTACTGGTAAATGAAAAAGATCACATCTAGGTGGAGTGATCAAGACAACTTTTATGGAGGCACAGGGATTTGGGATGAACCTTAAAAGCAAGTAGGCAGGATTTTAACAGGGAGATAATGTGGAAAGACAGATTTCAAGGAGACAGGGAAGACAATGAGCAAACACACAGAGGAAGGAATGCCATAGGCATTCTAGATCTTCATACTCACATGCAGCATAACTGGGATGGCTTGCATTTGGATTGGTGTAGGCATTTGGAAACCTGCATCTAGAATGTTCTGAAGTAGTCGAGAATTGATTTTATATTCCTGGTCAAGTTGCTGAAATGTAGCAATTGGGTCAGGAAGATCGGTTCCTTGGACATGAATTTTGTGTTTATTCCGCAAGAAGTTTATCTGAAAAGTGAAGTAAAGAGGCCACCATAGATATGGCCAAATAATTGTCTTCTCAGATGTTATAAAGCAACATTAACTGTTTCTGGGATAACCTTTAGCAGCATATTAAACTTTTCGGTTAAATCCAAGCCCCAAAATATCACAGATATTAGGTGTAATTCATGCCCTTTCATAGAAAATATTCATAAAATATCTATGCTTTCTTCATATTAATGTTATTGTCATAGTCATAACTTCTAACCTTAAATAAACTTCCAGAAAACAGGTATTGAGTTCATCTACTATTTTAATATGGTGGTTAGCATAAAGTATCAATGCTTTTTGATGATTTACCCTAAAACTCTACTTTTTAAAACCGAGTGCCAAAAAGTAGAGTCTAGTAGTGTTGATTTGGTTTGTTTCCCCATTCTCTGGTGCAGAGACAGTCAAATTCTGGTTTCTGGGTTACTGAAGCATTACCATAATAATTCCTGAAAGGACCTGAAAATACCTCTCCATCAGGAACATGGCATGTGTACAGCAGACACAAAAAAGGTATATTTGTCATTTCTTCCATATCCTACTCCTCATATTCCCAAGTCATAAAATACCTTTCTTAAGAATTCTAACCCTCTAATCTGTGTCAGAGGAAATCCTTCCAAACCAGTGAGCTCAACACAGAGAAGAAAGGGAGCCACATTTTGTTTACTGAAAAAGGCTATGACATTTAAAAAATTTAATTCTAAACATACTATCAATCTTGAAACTTGAGCAGGTCAAGAATTTTATATATTATCTTTAATTTTAAACTAAAATTTTCAGCTACAGCACAAATGCCTACTTTGCTTTACATTTTCATTAAAGTAAAATCTAAATGAATGTAACTAACCTTCTATCTTAATGAAACTATATTCATATTACCAACAGAATAACCCAAGTCCAGTGCACAAGTCACTAGGTTGGAAAATATACATACTTTTGGTGCCAAAACATTTTTCTAACCTTTTCCTTTCTGAGATGCTCCAACTTTCCTGAAGTTAGTTTATTTTCTCTTTGAACTTTTTTGTCTTCAATCTTTGCTTCTACAGATGATATCCACTGTATAGTAGCAACTTCGTCTTGGGAAGTAATTTCTAAAATATATTTTTAAAAAGTAAAAGATTTTAAATTTAGGCAAAATAGTGAGGGCTCATCTCTTCAAAAAAAATTTTTTTTAATTAGCCAGGAGTGAGTGGTAGTGCATGCCTGCAGATCCAGCTACTCAGGAGGCTGAGAGAGGAGGATCATTTGAGCTTTCGAGGTTGAGGCTGCAGAGAGCTGTGATCACACCACTGTATTCCAGCTTGTGTAACAGAGAAAAATCCTGACTCCAAAAAAAAAAAAAAAAGGTTTTAATCTTGGGTGTATGTGTAGCAAGCAGGCTACACCTTCAAACTAAAAACAGAAAAAATACAACTGGTACAACTAGATAAGAGAAAGTAATAGGATGTATAAAAATGGAAATGAAGAGGCAAGTTCTGTGTTGGTATGCTCAGAGCTCTGAAGCTCATTATCTTCCCTTTGTTGGCTGTTTCGGAAGTGTACTGAGTATACTTGAAAACAACAGGGGATTAATTGAAAAGCCACTTAAACAATAAGAAATTTCAATAAGGCACCCAGGTTCTCTATAGTAAATAACAACTAAAAAATAAATATGATGAAAGATCTCACTTAAAATAGCAATAAACAGCCAGGTGTGGTGGCTCACGCCTGTAAGTGAGGCCAGGAGTTCCAGACCAGCCTGGCCAACCTGGTGAAACCCTGTCTCTACAAAAATATAAAAATTAGCTGGGCATGATGGCAGGTGCCTGTAATCCCAGTTACGTGGGAGGCTGAGGCAAGAGAATCACTTGAAGCCGGGAGGTGGAGGTTGCAGTGAACCAAGATTATGCCACTGCACTTCAGCCTGGGCGACAGAGCATGACTCTGTCTCAAAAAATTAAAAAAAAATAAAAATAAAATAGCAATGAACATAATACAATACTTTGAGCTACTCAGTATTATAAAGATAGCAATTCTCTCTAAATCTATGAAGAACACTAACCAATTACAAGTAGCGACAGGATTGTTTTGGGGACTGGACCAGCTGACTTAACAGTTTGTATGGGAGAATAATTATTGTAAGAATAACCTAGGCCAGGCGAGGTGGCCCATGCCTATAATCCTAGCTCTTTGGGAGGCTGAGGTGGCTGGATCACCGAAGGTCAGGAGTTCAAGGCCAGCCTAGCCATCATGGTGAAACCCCACCTTAAAAAAAAAAAAAGAATAGCCTAAAAAATTAAAATTAATAAGCAAAGACTAGTTCTACCAAATTGCTTAATTTCTTTCCATTTCAGTGAGGTATAGATACAGACAATAATCTGCATATATTTAAAGTATCTAATTTGATGAGTTTTGACATATCTACACACCCAAAAAAACCATCACCACATTCAAGATTATTTCTATCACTTCTCCAAATTTCCTCATGATCCCTTATAATTCACCACTCCATGCATAGGCAACCACCAATCTAATTTCTGCCACTATAGACTAGTTTACCTTTTCTGGAATTTTATATAAATGGAATCATATCATATGTACTAATTTTTGTCTGGCTTCTTTAACTTAAGATAGTTATTCTGAAATTCATCTATGTTGCAGCATGTATCAACAACTTACCATTTTATTACTAGCTAGTATTTCATTATATGGATGTACAGTTTATCATTTACCTAATGAAGGACATTTGGGTCATTTCCAGCTTTTGGCTATAAGTAATGTTGCTATGAACATTTGTGTACAAGTCTTTCTGAAGATGTGTATTTTCCTATCTCTTAGGTAAATACTGACAAGTGGAATACCTGGGTAATATGTTAGATATACGTTTAACTTAAAAAAAAAAAAAAAAAAAAAAAACCCGAACTATTTTCCAAAGTGGTTGTACCATTTTACCATCAATACTGTGAGAGCTTGTTTCTGTACATCCTTGCCCAAACTTGGTGTGGTCATTCTTTTTATTTTTAGCCATTCTAATGGGTATGTAGTAGTAATACATTCTGGATTTAATTTGCCTCATGGCTACTGGTGTTGAATATTTTATGTGCTTATCACCACGTGTGTATTTTCTTTAGTGAGTACATACAAGTCCTTTTGTTTAATATACATTTGACAAATATTTCCCATCTGTTGCTTGCCTTTTAATTTTCTTAATGTCATCTTTTGAAGAATGAAAATTTTTAGTTTGGTAAGTCCAATATATCAATTATTTAAAAAAATTTTTGTTGTTGTTCTAAGGAAACTTTACATATCTCAAGGTCCCAAAGATTTTTTTCTTATGTTTTCTTCTAGAACTTTCACAGTTTTAGATTTTAAACTTCAGTCTGAGTCATTTGAAGTTAATTTTTGCTTACAATGTAAAGATAGGTTTGATGTTCACTTTTTTCCACATGGATCCAGCATCGTTTGTCGAAAAGACCTTCCTTTCCCCATTGAATTACATTATTACCTCTGTTGATAACTAATTGACCATATATACATGGGTCTGTGGACTAGCTATTCTGTTTCACTAATCCACACACAAGGGGGTCTTCAAAAAGTTCATGGAAAATCCATTATTATGAAAAAACTATGCAAAAACTTCAAAATTTTTTGCACTAAAATAAACTCATACCAACTTGTTATAATACAGCTGAACTGAATGAATCTAGTCTGAGACACTAAGAAGGAAAAGACAGCAGTTTGAAAAAAGCAACATGAACTCTGCTTAAAACTAAAGCATGAGCAAACATCAAATTTATGGTGAAGCTTGGATAGTGAAATCACTGATGCTTTATGAAAAGTTTATGGGGACAATGTCCCAGAGAGATCAGCTGTTTACAAATGGAAAACCTGTTTTAAGAAAGAACAAGATAATATTGAAGATGAAGTCTGTAGCAGCAGACCACCCACATCAATTTATAAGGAAAAAAACCGTTCATGTCCTAATTGAAGAGGACTGCTGATTAACAGCAGAAACAATAGCCAATACCACAGACACCTGAACTGGTTTGGCTTACACCATATACGTATTTTTGTTCTGTCACCCAGGCTAGAGTACATAGGCATGATCACAGCTCACTGTAACCTCAAACTCCTGGGCTAAAGCAATCCCCTGCCTCAGCCTCCCAGGTAGCAGGTAGCTGGGACGACAGGCATGTGCTACCACATGCAGCTAATTTTTTCTTTTCTTTTTTTCGGAGTCTCATTGTGTCACCCAGGCTGGAGGGGTGCAGTGGTGTGATCTCAGCTCACTGCAACCTCTGCCTCCAAGGTTCAAGTGATTCTTCTGCCTCGGCCTCCCAAGTAGCTGAGATTACAGGCACCAGCAATCACGCCCGGCTAATTTTTTTTTTTTTTTAAAGTAGAGACAGGGTTTCACCATGTTGCCCAGTCTGGTCTTGAACTCCTGGCCTCAAACAATCCTTCCAACTCGGCCTCCCAAAGTACTGGGATTACAGGCATGAGCTACTGCTCCTGGCCCGATTTTTTGTATAGTCTTGCTATGTTGCCCAAGCTGGTCTCAAACTCCTGGCCTCAAGTGACCCTTTGATTTCATCCTCCCAAAGCGCTGGGATTCCAGGTGAGCCACTGAACCTGGACTACTTACCAATTGTTTGTTTGTCTGCTAGCCTGTTTTGTTTTTGAGACAGAATTTTGCTCTTGTTGCCTAGGCTGGTGTGCAATGGCACGATCTCAGCTCACTGCAACCTCTGCCTCCCAGGTTCAAGCGATTCTCCTGCCTCAGCTTCCCTAGTAGCTGAGATTACAGGTGCCTGCCACCATGCTGAGC